GAAGTAGCAAGATGACAAACAAAAGAGAAAGTTTCTTATTTCTCAATGTACTTTTCCATGTACCCATAATACAAACTTGTAGGCCTATATATAGGCTAAGGGATATGTAGGAGTTACATTAGCCATTGAATGGGACTAAATGAGAGAATGAAAGGCACCTTAATGGACTCCTTAATGACCCTTTGAATGGTCTTTAGCGGGATCATGAATGGCCTTTAGTGGGGTCATGAATGGCCCTTAGTGGTGAGGAATTACCCTTTAATGGTGGGGAGTTACAACATGGAAGGAGATGAATGTGAAGGTGAAGCATCCACCAATAAGAAAAATTCACAATACTCCCCCTTGGATGCTCACCTTTTTTGTGTTATACGTTTTTAAACTGCCTCATTTCTTTTTTTTTTTTATCAGCAAATAAATATTTATTCATTTTAAAATGGAGCACAAGGGGTGCTCCTGCCCTTTTACACATAAATGAGACTCCATAACCCAAACAAAAGAGCAAGCATTAGAACATAGAAAAAATTCAGCCCAGCAGATGTTGATTAGGCTGCACCCCAGGCGTTGCAATCAGCCCCAGGAGAGCCAGGTTGAATAAGCCGCCCCTTTTGTTTCTTAAAAGCCTTCAAAGACCTCTTGAACCGAGACAACTCCCTTGCACATTCCACTGGATTATTCTGCCACTGAACAAAAGAGAAAACACACCCCTCTACCTTATTCCTTATCCAGAAGAAGGACTTATCTTGAATCAATTCTAACATATGCTCCCTAAAATCCCCACCCTGCTGAAATACCAAGACATTCCTCCAATACCATATATACCAAGCCACAACAAGGAAAATACATGCCCCCATCTCCTTACCCACCAAACTACCAAACACCATAAAAAGAAATCTACCACACCCCTCACCTTATCCGGCAACACAACCTCCAAGCCCCACCACTGAATCACCTTCACCCAAACTAACCAAACTGACTTACATGTGCAGAATAGATGATTTACATCCTCCACGCCCTCCTTACATAGGCCACACAGCATGCCAACCCCTTGGAGTACCATTCCTCGCTTTTGCAAATTCCACCTTGTTGGCAGCCTATCTAGACACAGCCTCCACCCAAAAAAACTCACTTTTGAAGGCACCATCCTGCACCACACTAATTTACACAAATGGCCATCAAGCACAGAATCCACAGAATCTAAAAACTCATATGCTGTCTTCACATTATATTTACCTCCTACTAATTTAAACTGCCTCATTAAAAACCTTGCTAGGAAAAACCTAATGGGATAAAAACAATAGTGAAGGGAAAAAGAGTGCAGTACGTATAATACTCCCCCTCACTTGAACGAAGATCTTTAAGGCGTCTCATGCTTATCTTGTGTACAAGTTGTTCAAAAACTTTTGTAGGCAATTACTTTGTGAAAAGATCTGCAAGATTCTCATATGAACTGATTTGCTGCACATCTATTTCACCAGCATTTTCAAATTCATGTGTAGAGAAGAACTTTGGAGAAATATGTTTCGTTCTATCTCCTTTGATGAATCCTTCCTTTATTTGTGCAATGCATGCAGTATTGTTCTCGTATAATAAGGTCAGATTTCCTATAATTGCTTTAAGACGACATGTTTCTTGAACATGCTAGATCAAAGATCTTACCCATACACATTCGCAACTTGCCTCATATAAGGTAATCAATTTGAGTGATTTGAGGATGTGGCAACCATGGTCTATTTGGTTGAACGCCAAGAAATTGCGATACCACCATATGTGAACAAATATCTAGTTTATGATCCCCTTTTATGTGGATCAGAAAAATATCCAACGTTTACATATCCAATTAACTCTGGTTTTGAGATTTTTGAGTAAAATAATATCATGTCTTTTGTTCCTTGAAGATAATGAAATAAACATTTAATGTCATTCCCATGTCTTCATGTTGGTGTTGAACTATATCTTACTAACAAATTCACAGAAAATGCAATTTCAGGTCACGTATTGATAGCTAAATACATCAATGCACCTATGGCACTTAAATATGGTACTTAAATATATATGACCAAGAATTTCTTTGTTATCTTCATGAGGTAGAAAAGGATTTTTCTTTACATCAAGGGATCGAACAACCATTGGAGAGCTTAAAGGATGAGACTTGTCCATATTAAATCTCTTCAATATCTTTTCAACATAATTTAGTTGATGGACAAAAATTACATTTGATAAGTGCTCAATTTGTAGATCGAGACAAAATTTTGTTACTTCGAGATCTTTCATCTCAAATTCTTGCTTTAAACATTCAACTACTTTTGCAAGCTCTCTTGGTGTCCCAATAATATTTATATCATCAACATATACAGCAATGATAGCAAAACCAGGTTTTGACCTCTTGGCAAAGACAAAAGGGCTAATAGGATTATTTTCATATCCTTCTTTTAGGAGATATTCACTTAGGCGATTGTACCACATTTGCCCTGATTGTTTCAACCCATACAAAGACCGTCTTAATTTTATTGAAAATATCTCCCTTGGTATTGGGTTGTAGGCTTTAGGCATTTTAAGTCAAACAAGGACTTTCATATAAATGTCACTGTCAAGTGATCCATATAAGTAAGCAATTACAACATCATGAGACACATTTGAAGGCCTTCAGAAACTACTAAAGTAATTAGAAACCTAAATGTAATTACATCCATCATAGGAGAATATGTTTCCTTATAATCAATGCCAGGTGTTTGTGTAAAACCTTGAGCTACAAGTTCGGCTTTGTATCTCACAACCTCATTTTTCTCATTTTTTTTTCTCAAAAACACCCATCTATAACCCACAGGCTTTACATGATTGGGTGTTTGGACAATTAGTCCAAAAACTTGGCATTTTTCTAATGATTTTAATTTTGCCTGAATTGCATCTTTTCATTTTGGCCAATCACTTATTTGTTAGCATTTTTCAATGGATTTCGATTCAAGATCCCCATTTTCATTGACTATAACATTTGCTATTGCAAATGCAAAAACATCATCAATGACAATATCATTTCGATTCCACTTTATCCTAATGGAAATATAATTTATTGAGATCTCATCATTATCTACAATTTTTGTGTCTTCATTATTCTCAAGAACTTGAACCTTTTCTGAGATTATTTCTTTAGATGCATTTTTTGGCTATTGTTTGGAGAACTCTTGAGTTTTTACCATTTCAGGGGAGCTAGTATTTTGCTTTCTCTTCATTCTTGGATCTTTATCTTTGGAACTGACTGGTCTACCATGCTTTTGGTGTATAGTAGATTCATTTGCTATTGTCTTAGCATCTTTTTCAATAGGAATATTAATTCGAGCAAGAGTATTCAAAGCTGGGATATGTGAACTAATTACTTTCTTTGCATCTGTAAATGCATCAGGCAATTGATTTGCTTGCAAATGAATAATTTTTTGAACTTCTAGTCCACTTTGACCTGTTCAAGGGTCTAAATGAGATATAGATAATGCATCTTAGGTTAATTCCTATTTTTTCAACTTGTGTTCCTTTCCCCTAATGCCGGGAACAAATTTTCATCAAAATGACAATTAGCAAATCTTGTTGTGAAAAGATCACCAGCTATTGGTTCAAAATATTTAATTATAGATGGTGATTCAAAACCAACATAAATTCTCAACCTTCTTTGGGGACCATTTTAGTGTGTTGTGTAGGAACAATTGGAACATATATAGCACACCCAAAAATCTTTAAATGAGATATATTTGGTTCAATCCCATAAACAAGCTGTAATGGTGAATGCTTATGATGAGCAGTTGGCCTTAATCAAATTAATACTGCAGCATGCAATATAGCATGACCCCAAGCAGAAGAGGGTAACTTTGATCTCATAAGTAGTTGTCTTACAATCAATTGCAAAAACTTAATAAGAGATTCAGCCAGATGATTTTGTGTATGTATATGAGGAATTGGATGCTCAACAATAATCCCAATTGACATACAATAAACATTAAATGATTGGGATGTAAATTCTCCTATATTATCAAGTCAGATCATTTTTTATTATATAATCAGGAAATTGTGCTCTCAATTTTATTATTTGTGCAAGTAACCTTGCAAACACAACATTTGTGTGTAGACAATAAGCAGACATGTGACCATCTTGTTGAAGCATCTATCAACACCATAAAATATCGAAATGGTTCAGATGGTGGATTTATAAGTCCAAAAATATCTCCTTGAATTCATTCCAAAAATGCAAGAGATTCATTTTCTATTTTAGTTTCAAAAGGCTTGATAATTAATTTACCAAGGGAGCAAGCAATACATGAAAAATCACTTGATAATAAAACTTCCAAGTTCTTTAATGGGTGTCCATGTGAATTTTCTATAATTCTCCGCAACATAATAGCACCTGGATGACCAGTCGATTATGCCAAAGGATAAAGGTATTTGGATTAACTATTTTCTTATTAGTCATAGCATTGGATTCTATTGAATGTATGTATGTATAATACAATCCAGAAGAAAAGGTTAATAGTCTCTCCAATATTTTCTTTTGTCCAAATGCAATAGTTGAGACATGGAGGAACTCTATTCCATTTTCATCCATGGTTTCAATATGAAAATCATTACGATGTATACTTAAAGCTTGGTAGATTTTGATTTAATCTACTAGAATATAGAGCGTTGTGTATTAATAATTTTGTTCCTCCAGGCACTAAAATACAAGCTTCTCCAGAGCCTTCAATCAACCTTGCCATACCAGATATTGTATGAACATTAGCTTCAACTAACGTTAATTGAGAAAAATAATTGTTATTTCTCAAGATTGTATGTGTTGTGGCACTATCAACGAGACATAGGTATCCATCATTCATCTTAGCGTCATCTAAGTCCATTTGGTCTTAAATAAAGACAAATGAACCAGAAGAGACAAATATTCAATATATATATTTTGAAATGATTTATTCTTTTATTGAATATAAAAAGGAAATTACATATAAAACAAGAGAAATAGCCATTTAGGGCAAATTATTTAAGAGGATATAATAAGTCAAACTCTTGGTTGGGTATCACCAACACCATTAAGCTTTTCAACACCTTCAAAAAAATTAGCAACATCAAGCTATGTATCAAGATTCACATTGTTATGCTCAATGAAATTCAGTTCTGGATCGTTTCCTCTTCCCTTTTCATTAAGTGAGGATTGGTAAAGATCAACCAAATGCCTAGTAATGCGACAAGCACACTCCCAATGTCTTTTTGCTCCACATCGACAACAAAAACTTTCAGGATATTTTGTAAGGTTCTTTTGTAAATTTTTACCCCTTACATCTTTTTTTTTTTAGCAAATTCAAATTTGGGGTTGAAACCACTGCAATGCCAAGTATTATTTTGACCACGAATACGCTCTCAGCCACAGTTATTGTCATGATTACGACCACAGCGACAACCGTGACCACGCCCATTATTATTATATGAGGTTGCATTTGCCTCAAGTAATGGGGCTGAACCAATAGGGCGTGATTGATGATTTTTCATCAAAAATTTATTATTTTGTTAAGCAACAAGAAGACATAATATCAAATCTGAATATTTTTTAAGTCACGCCCTCAATATTATACTAAAAGAGCAAATTCGAGACATGAAAAGTGGAGAATGTTTTCTCCAACATGTCTTCATCAATCATTTTTTCACCGCATAATTTTAATTGAGATGAAATGCGAAACACTACGGAGTTATACTCACTCACATATTTAAAATCTTGCAATTGCAAATCCATCCATTCATAACAAGCTTTTGGCAGTATCATCGATTTTTGGTGATCATATCTTTCTTTTAAATTCTGTCATAATTCAAATGGATCTTTGACTGTTAAATATTTAGCCTTCAATCCCTCATGGAGATGATGCGAAGAAATATCAACGCTTTAGTGTGATCTTATAAGGATGTTTGATTTCATTTAACAATTGTTTCACCAAGATTATTTGTACCCAAATGGATTTCAACATCAAGTATCAATGGCAAGTAATTTGAGCCCGTTATATCAAGAGCGGCAAATTCAAGTTTTGTCAAGTTTGACATTGTGGCTGCGAAAAATTTGTTAGATTGAAATCAAATTGAAATTAGAAAAACAAAAGATTACCTTAAGAGCTTACCACAAATTGAATGGTGAAGATTGTCATGCTGATAACGTGTTATAAAATAAAAGGAGAAGTAGCAAGATGACAAACAAAAGAGAAAGTTTCTTATTTCTCAATGTACTTTTCCATGTACCCATAATACAAACTTGTAGGCCTATATATAGGTTAAGGGATATGTGGGAGTTACATTAGTCATTGAATAGGACTAAATGAGAGAATGAAAGGCACCTTAATGGACTCCTTAATGACCCTTTGAATGGTCTTTAGTGGGATTATGAATGGCCTTTAGTGGGGTTATGAATGGCCCTTAGTGGTGAGGAATTATCCTTTAATAATGGGGAGTTACAACATGAAAAAAAGATAAATGTAAAGGTGAAGCATCCACCAATAAAAAAAATTCACAATAATATCATAATTGTAATTGGTTTCATGCCCGTTATCTTAAAATTCTAAGCCAAGCTAAATCAATTTTATGGCACAACTTCCGACACAAAAATATTTTAGGCTGTGCGTATGCCAAACACAGCTTTACAAACAATGGTACAAAAGGCTGGCAAAAAAAAAAAAAATTGTTACAAAAGGTGATTTGATGACTAGCTAGCAGATTTCATGTCTGCTTTTCCTTAATCAAAGGAACCTTTTAAAGTATCTTTTGCAAAGATCCTTTTACATCACATCAGAATTTTTCCACGAAAGATAATTATTAGTATTACATCGCGCATAAACGAATCCTAAAACTATAATCAAATTAAAAATGTTAAGTGCAATCTTTATAGGTAATTACCGCGTATCACAATTAATAAGTTAAGTAATTTTTTGATAAATTTTATTTTTATAAAAGTAAATAACCTTAATTTTAGATTTTGTAGTATGCAAGTAAAGGGTTAAAAAAAATGAAAGAATTACCTCCATTATATCATCTAAAATAAAAGAAAAAAAATTAGACTTGCAATTTTTAAATTTGTTTAATTGTGATTTTTTGGGATTTACATTGTTTTGGTGTTTGAGCAATTACGTTGAATTACATGAGAAACATCATTTTGGAGAAGCTAAAGCAAAGAACAGGTGGAAGTTTTATTCTCAAAATAAGTAATAGGTTCTAATGAATTGGTTCACATAGGCATTAGGGATATAGAAGGGGGTGACAGAATGAGTGCAATTCTCCAAAATTACAAAAGAATCAAATATAAAGTCCAAAACTTAACAAGTTAATCGAGATATATATTGCATTCTCTAACAGCATAAGAGATTTTAACCAAAGCATGTTTTTGGCAGAGTTAATTCAAGTCAGCAAAATGCTGACTCAAATCAATGTACGAGAGAGCGCAAGCCTTTTAGGATGACTGAAATCACAAATTTTGGAACTCAAAATCTTAAATCATTCTTCCCCTGACTTCATCTATTCGGGCGGGGGACTAAATTGCTAAACACGTGAAAGATGAAGGGGCAAGGCTCAGTTTCACCAAATAAAATTGTTAATACACTTTTTATTCAACATATTTACTA